TAGCTATACAGTGAGTTTGAGACTAGCCTTGACCACCTGAGAGCATGAATTAAAAAAAAATAAAGCAAGAAGAGAGCTGGGAAGCTGTCAGGTAAAAATGCTCACTGCAAAAACTTGATGAGCAGAGCTCCATCCTGGAAGAAGGAGCCAAAGAGATGGCTCAGCAGATAAGAGCACTCATTGCTCTTGCAGAACGCCCAGGTTGGTTCCTAGCATCCACATAATTCAGTAATATCTGGAACTCCAGTTCCAGTGGCTATGACACCCTCTTCTGAACTCCACGGGCTCTTGCACATATGTGGTGCACATACATAGCCTCAGACACACACACACACACACACACACACACACACACACACACACACACAAGATAAAATAAATTTTAAAGAGAACTGACTTCACAGACTTGTTCTATGACCTCCACACATGTACAATATAACACACACACACACACACACACACACACACACACACACACCCATACAATAGCAATAAGCAAAATATTTATTTATATGAATGTTCTGTCTGCATGTACACCTGAATACCAGCAGAGGCCATCAGATCCCATTATATATTGTTATGAGCCACCATGTGGGTGCTGGGAATTGAACCCAGAACCTCTGAAAGAGCAGCCAATGCTCTTATCTGCTGAGCCATTTCTCTAGCTCCCAACAAAAATGTCAAAGCCTCCTTCTTGTGGTCTAGCAGAAGGTGCTATGCAAGTTGCCAAGGAAAAGAAACAATCAATAGTCCTATCCAGTTGTTATGCCCATGAACCACAACAATGACCAGCATGGCAAGATATCACCAAAGGTGCAATGGCTGTCTTCATATCTTGGCAGTAAGCAACAGCTCTCTAAATTGGACTGAAGCCTTGCTCAACAGGAGGGAAATCATACTTGGTACTGGAAACCGAGCCAAACACCAGGGGCTCAGTTTCTACTACCTACAACGCCCGCCACTTTACTAAACTAGCATAATTCCTAACTGCATTCCCAAACTAATTCTCAGGCCCACTGATAAGTATATCTCTCACTCCCCAGATCAATGGAGCTTCTCTTGGTGACAAATGGAAACCATTGCAGAAAACCACAACTGGCCATAATGCTTCGATCAACTGGTCATGGAGCACTCAGCCCCAGTGGCTAGATCTACAACACAACTCCTACACCCAAGGCTCAAGGGAAATGTCAGAAGAAGGATCAGAAAGATTACAAGAGCCAGAGGGCCAGGAAGTCTGTGGTGAGATTGTATCTCCTAGAAATGACAGGGAAGCGACACTCAGGAAACCTCAACAATACGGCTGCTTAAGTGAGACCTGGACAATGACAAAACCAATAGACAAGCTAACCGGGAAGAGGGAAATCTCATGGGACCACGCCTAGACAAAGGACTACAAGTAACTAGTCACTGGGATGAGCCCTTTAATTGGTTATCCAATACAAAGTGGTGGGCCCTGAAATTGTATACACAAACAACACGAAATGGACTCAGCAGGTTGTATTTGTATATTTATGCATCTATATTATGTGTTTGTAGCAATGAGAGCTAAAGAGAAGAAGGCCATCTATTTGACGGGGGGCAGGGGGGGGTGCCGGGGGGGGGGGGTGGGAGGGTTTGGTGAGGGACATGGGAGGGGTTGGAGGAAGGGAACATGGAAGAGGTTGGAGGGGAGAAAGAGAAAATGGAAGTGATATAATTATATTTTAATAAAATAAATAATAACCAACTTTTTTTAAAAGAAGAAGAAGAAGAAGAAGAAGAAGAAGAAGAAGAAGAAGAAGAAGAAGAAGAAGAAGAAGAAGAAAAGCAATAAGAGAAGGAAAGGGAGGGGAAGATAAACACCCTAGGACAAATCTCTTCCTCTTCCTGGGCAATCAGTTTTACAACCTATCTTTCTAAAAGCGGCACTTCTAAGTCCAAGGAGTCCATATGTCAGAGTTTAATGGAATGGCTAACCTACTCTTCTGTCCAGACTGTCTGTATCTAACATGTGACACTCTCTCCTGTGCATATCAGGAAACTCTTGTCACTTGCCTTCTGCTCTAGAAAAGCTCCCTTCCCTGCCAGTCCCCATTCCAGACGAAAGGGACCTCTGAAATCCTTCAGTTTCGCTTCTGAAGCAGCAAGCTGTCCTCGCCCATGAGTGTGCAGTAGCTCCCGTGCCTGGAGTTCACTTGAACACAATGCTGTCCTCTCTGTGCCTTAGCCTCTTCATCCGAGCACTCGGAGGAAAAGAGGACCTAAGTCAGCTCACCATGGTTACCATAGCTCAGCTTCCACTGGACCACAGTGACGCAGACTGAGCTGTCTCATCAGTGAATGTGGACTCACTGGTGGAGTCGAGTGGCTACAGGAAACTATTTCTCCTAAAAAGCTCAAAACCATTTGACAACTGGCTCTTGAAAAACAAGTAACACATAAGAAAGATGCCGCTGTAGCCAAGGCCAAGTCATAGGTATAATAATACATGTTAATGCTAACACTTCATGTGCTTCGGGGCTGACTCCAAACTCCTCCGCACCATCACATTAGTTCTCACAATCTTTTTGGTCACATGCTTTGTTTTATTTGTTTTGTTGACAGCGTCTCAGGTAGCCCACGCAGGCTTTGAATTCTGTATGTCAGAATCTAATGGTCCCAGTGTCACAAAGAGACAGACAAACACAGCCAGCATAACTCAGAGACAATTTACTTCTTGCACAGTGGCATACAATGACCCAAACCAGGTGAACAACCACACTGGGGCAGGAAGTTCCCTCAGTTTTTATGCTAAAGTAGGTGGGGACTGTGTCTAATTCTACTGGTAGGCGCTTGACTTCAAGATTCGATGTGATTCATAATTGGCGTGAAGGGGAGGGTGGTGATGGAGTCAAATCTCAGGAATGTCTGGCATCCAGGGCTTGGGCAAACAGGCTCGTACACAGAGGTTCACAGGATGGGGAGGTTTGGAGGATCCTGGCCCTTGCTGAGCTAGCCTTCTCAGAGAGAAGATTGTTCTTCACACACGCATATATGAGAGGATAAACTTCAACTTCTGACCCTTCTGCCTCTACTTCCTTCATGCTGGGATTACAGGCACATGCCTTCGTGCATGACTAGTCCTCACAATCCAAAGAAGTAGCCACTATTGATATAGCCTCCTCTTGGGATTCACACCCCAGGCCAGCCCTCCCACCTGGAGACTAGGTAGGCCCGGGCCATAGCTGACTGACTTTGGACTTCAGAGTGCCATGCTCATCTCTGAAGAACGCCTATCTTTGTCCTCCTCCCTCCAGGAGCACTTTGGGGGTTTCTGAGATCCGCAGCACGGAAGGGGAAGGAGAAAGGTGAGGCTCTGAACTCTGAGGAGGGGCTGTACCTACGCTGATGCTTCTGGTTCAGACTCCACAAGACCCAAAAGAGTCCTACCCATCTGTTACGTGGCCGTTTCCTCCTGGATCACAACCTCTGTGTAGGCGCAAAGCTATACAGAGAAACTCTGTCTCAAAAACCAAAAACCAAAAAAAAAAAAAAAAAAAAAAAAAAAAGGTGAAACAAGATAATCGATTTGAAAGTGAGTGAAATACTTCATCCTGCACAGAAGTTCCATTAAAACAGAAAACTAACCATTTGAAACAGCTTCCAGAAGTTCCTGAAACTGACCATATTCACTAGGCCCCTCCTACCCCAAGACTCTATAAGCAAGCGACTCTCAGACAAGCAAAGAAGACTCTGAGACAAGCTGAGCAACCTGGAAGAAGCAGAGACCAGCCAGACTGCCTAGAAGGAACAAAGACCAGCTGAACTGCCTGGAAGAGATTCAGACGGATTGAGCCACCTGGAAAGGACATCGTTTGAGCTGCCTGTGCAGGGTGCTCCAGGTTTCCAGATTTTGTGAGCTGCCATTTATACTGGGGTGGGCTTTGGTGATGAAACTGCCATTGAATCATTTCTAGTCCTGTAAATGACCCATATTCTTGTAAGGAACGTCAACAAAACTTATGGGTTCACCAAGTTGGACTTCAGTATATCCTAACTTTGATCTGTCACGGGCTCCCTGTCTGGGGTGAGTAGATGGCTGTGTACATTTTCCCAAGAAAAGTTTGTCACACAACACCCTCAATTCCAAGGCCCAAAGAACCTATCACCTTGGAATCTGGCACCTCACAAACAAGGAGCAATGGTGAAGCCATGGTTCAGACAGTGCACAGTGCTCAACATGGGGGGGGGGGAGATGGTCTCAATAGTCCATGGCCAGTGGAGGCTTCCTGCTCTCCTTGACCTCAAAGCCTTTTCCTTTTCCACCTCTGTCATCCAGTGATAGGAATCCTCTGGGATAATTTAATCCCCAGAGGAACCTTTACTCATGCTAACTGAATAAAAACATCCGGAAATGGGGCTCTGGAATAGGGACTATTAAAAATACCCTGGCCTTCAAAAACCAAGGCTCTGTCCACTGTTCCCAGAGATGCCTAAAGATAAGGAATATTGGATACTTTTATTTAAAAAGTCAGAATCTGGGAAGCTTTTGCTCCAAAAATGTGAGGAACTGGGTTCAACCCCAGAACCCACGCAGAGCGTTGTGTGGTGCCATTCAGTTAAAATCCCAGTGTGCCTGAAATGAGTTGGGAGGTGGAGCAAGAAGAACCCCAGGATGAGCCAAGTAATGTACACAGCTCTAAACAGCAAAGAGACCCTGCCTCAAATAACTTGAAAGGTAAGGACCAGCACTCAAAGTTGTCCTTTGACCTTTGCATATGAGGGCTTGTGTATACATGAATATGGTACACATCACACACACAAATAAATAAACAAACAAATAAATAAATAAAGTGCATGCCAGAATCCTATGATCAGTTATTAGCAAAGAAAAGAAGAAAGTCCACTCCTCATATGTGCATAGCTATGTGGGAACTTCTCCAGGGGTCATCCTCACGAGCTTGGATAAATTTCAGTATAGCCACACAATGGGCAACAAGGAAGCAATGTAAAAAAAAAAAAATGACTGACACATTATGATGGTTAATCTTCATTGTCAATTTAATTGGATTATTAAATGCCTAGGGCATCAGTTAGCAACACCTTTGGGTGTGACTATGAGGGTGTTTCCAGAGAAGATTAACTATAAGAACTGGTCCTGAGTGTGGGGAGTGGAAGAAGTCCTGAGTGAATACTGTTGTTGACTCAATAGTGGCCATGTGTTGTTAACTCAAAAACCGCCATGTCAAGGACCACAATACTTCAGACTCATAGAAATGTCAAAGCCTTCCCTGGGCAAGGCTCAGAGGAATGGCAAAACTTTCCCTTGGTCAAAAAAAAAAAAAAAAAAAAAGGCTAAAGAATTGACCTTTTGCCAAAAGCAATATATGCAGAAAGTATGACCACAGCTTCCTTCTCCCCAATGTTACAGGCTGAAACCACTCCCCTAGAGAGACTTCTTACTGACATGAACTAACACTGACTCCTCCTTTAGCTGTATACAATTAAGCCCACCTCCTTGTTCAGCTGTATGTAATGAAGCCATGATTTAGATGTATAAAATAAACTGAGTTTCCAGGCTGCTGCTAGTGTTTTTCCATCACAGCAATCCACCAGAGCCCAGATTTCTGTACATGTGTCTTTGAGTCTGTCCTTTCTTCAGTCTCCTAGTCTTCATCCATCATGCTAGTCTGGGCAAATCCAAAGGCGTGCAGGTTACACAGGATTGGTCATCAAGGGTGGGCAGCACCATCCTATGTGCTGGGTCCTGAATTGAATAACAAGAGAAAAAGAAGAGGTCTGGCATTCCCCAATCTTCCTGTCTATGGAGACGTGAACAAGGCAGCCTCACTCACACGCCTGCTTCTAAGGGCACCAGCAGTGCCTGCTGCCATGCCTCGCCTGCTATGATAGATTGTAGCCACAAACTGTGAATTAAAAACCAAACCAAACAAAAAACTATTCCTCTCTGAAGTTGCCTCTTGTAGGATATTTGATCATAAGCCACTCAGTCTCTGTGTGGACATATGGATTTCACAGACATAACGCTAAGTGAGAAAAGCCAGGTACAGTGAGCGGATTCTCACTCATACCAAGTTCAAGGATAGGCAAGAAGGTGGAGAACAAAATAGTGGTTACCTCTATGTGAGTGTGTGTGAGTTTGTGTAAATTCTGCTACTTCCCTAGAGGCTTTCACAGCAAGACTCAACTGCCTTTGGGTCTCACCTGAGAGGCTTTTCTTGCTTGCCCGCTGGCTTGCTTGTTAGGGGCAATGTATAATATATTCTACATTACACTGAAAGCAATGGAGAATCATCTTTCTCATTTGGTTTGGCTCTTGAGACAGGGTCTCACTATGCAGCCCTGGCTGTCCTGGAACTCGATCTGTAGAATGGGCTAGCCTTGAGATCACAGAGATCAGCCGGCCTCTGCCTTTCCAGCACTGGGATTAAAAGTGTGCACTACTATACCTGGCCTGAATCATTTTGTTTTGAGAGAGGGTCTTGTTTTATAGCCCCAGACAGCCTGGTACTCTCTATGAAGCCCAGGCTGGCCTCAAACTCACAGCAATCCTGTTTCAGTCCCTCAAGTTTACCACAATACTTATCTAAAATACTATGCATGCTATGTAAGTGTTCTGTCACTGAGCTAAATCCCCAGTGAATACAGCCCAATGAATGTTTGTATTCTAGTTCTCCAAAAAGGGAACCCAAAGCTATGAGACTCAAATCTGGCTGGGTGGGTTTTATAATCAGATATGGGAAATAGTTGAGCATGACGAAATAATATGTTCTCACCTATTCAGTTGTGGCTAGGAGTTGGCTGGGTACCCACTCTCTGCTAGGCCCTGAATTAGGTGGGGGAAATGCAGTAGTAACCCTGCCCCAGCTCTGCCCTAGAGATGATGAGGCTGGTGGAATGTTAATTCACTTCAATGTTGTCTAGTTTCATTCCTTGCATCTGGACCCATCTTCTGTACCCTCTGGTCTTTCATAATCGTTTCCTGATGGATCCTATTTCTAAACTTCTGCTTGCCACTCAATTCCCACACCAAAGGTCCCTATGTAAGTGCCTAGTCAAAAGATCCATAATTGCACTGGAATATGGTTCAGTGGTGGAGCACTTACATGGCATGTTTAAGGCCCTGGGTACCACCCAGTTTGGTACTCTCCACTGTCCAGGCAACTGTGGTGCCAGCCTGAAGAACTGAACTCTCACTTACAAAGTACTTATTTACTTACCACCATAGGCAAGGTCCTAGTGTGCCCTGAGCCCAGTGGGCCTCTTTGTTCAGATAGTCATGAGATAATAGTACCCACCACCAGCAGCATACCTGCCTTCTCCCCTTCCTAATGCCTCCTCCATCAGGGCAGTTTGACTCTGCAGCACCACCCTAGTGATAGCCAGACTTCTGTTTGTTTACACAGGCTGGGCTGGAGGTCCCGAGCTCATCTTCCTGCTGTGGTGGTCTGAAATGTCTTTCCTTCTCCTTCTCCAGGTTGAGTCTTACTGTCCGAGATATTGCCTTTTCCAGGAGCCCCCACCCCGAGGCTACCTATGGAGTCAGGCGTTTCCCAGGCAGAGCCCCACAGCTTCCCAGCGGAGGGTGTCTGTTTGCCTCTTGTTTCCATGAGTCTCCATTTGCTTGAGCTCAGACTCTTGTCAGGCTACCAGCCTCAGGATCCCTAAATCACTCTTCTTCATATCCACAGCTGTGACTTCAGTGGTGTGTGGCAGGCCTAGACAGAATATGCTCAGCATTTTCTTCCTTCCTTCCCTCCCTCCCTCGCTCCTTCCCTCCCCTTCCCCTCCCTCCCTTCCTTCCTTTGGTTTTGTTTTTCTTTTTTATCTAAAATATTTTTTAATATTTCATTAAGAATTTTTTTCATTCATTTTGCACACTAATCAAAGATCCTCCACTTCCCTCCTCCTGCCTCCCCAGCCCCAACCCCCCCCCACTCCCGTCCACAAGAAGGCAAGGCCTCCCATGTGAAGGTACATCCAGTAGAGGCAAGTCCAAGCCCTTTCCCCTGCCTCAAGGTTGCACAAGGTGTCCCATCATAGGTAGTGGGCTCCAAAAAGCCACCTTATGCACCAGGGATGAATTCTGATTCTACCACCAGCCCCCCTGCCCTGCTCCAAGCAGATCAAGCTACACAATTGTCTTACCATCCAGAGGGCCTAGTCCAGCCCCATGCAGGCTCCACAGCCATTGATGCAACTTTCATTAGCTCCCACTAGTTTGGCTTGGTCGTCTCTGCAGGTTTCCCCATGATGATCCTGATGCACTTGCTCATAGAATCCCTCTTTCTCCTACTGGACTCCTGGAGCTCTGCCTGGTATTTGGCCATGGATCTCTGCATCTGCCTCCATCAGTCATTGGAGAAAAGCTCTGTGATGACAGAGTATTCACCGATCTGATCACTGGGGCAAGCCAGCTCAGTTCAGGCACCCTCTCCATTATTTCTAGTAGTCTAAGCTGGGGTCATCCTTGGGGATTCTTCCCTAGCAACGGGTTTCTCTCTATCCCCATGCTATCTCCCCCCATCATGGTATCTCTCTCATTGCTTTCCCACTCCATCCCTGTTCCAGCTCAACCATCCGATTCCCGTATGTTCTCATCCCCCATCCCCTACCCTTCATTGCCCACCCCTCACCCCGAGTTCACTCATGGAGATCTCATCTATTTCCTGTTCTCAGGGCCATCTATGCATCCCTCTTTGGGTCTTCCTTGTTAGCTAGCTTCTCTGGAGTTGTGGGTTGCTGTCTGGTTATCCTTTGCTTTACTTCTAGTATCTGCTTAGGAGTGGTTACATACCGTATTTGTCCTTCTGAGTCTGGGTTACCTCACTCAGGATGATATTTTCTAGTTCCATCCATTTGCCTGCAAATTTCATGATGTCATTGTTTTTCTCTGCTGAGTAGTACTCCATTGTGTATATGTACCACATTTTAAAAAATCCGTTCTTCAGTTGAGAGGCATCTAGGTTGTTTCCAGGTTCTGCCTATTACAAATAATGCTGCTATGAACATAGTTGAGCATGTGTCCCTGTGGTATGATTGAGCATTCCTTGGATATATGCCCAAGAGTGGTATAGCTGGGTCTTGATTGATTCGCAATTTTCTGAGAAACCACCACACTGATTTCCAAAGTAGCTATACAAGTTCACTCTCCCCCCAACAATGGAGGAGTGTTCCCCTTGCTCCACATCCTCTTCAACATAAGCTGTCTGCAGTGCTTTTGATCTTAGCCATTCTGACAGGTGTAAGATGTTATCTCTGAGTTGTTTTGATTTGCATTTCCCTGATAACTAAGGATGCTGAACAATTCCTTAAATGTCTTCTGGCCATTTTAAATTCTTCCTTTGAGAATTTTCTGTTTAGCTCTATAGCCCATTTTTTAATTGGATTGTTCATTATTATGATGTCTAGATTCTTGAGTTCTTTATATATTTTGGAGATCAGCCCTTTGTCAGATGTGGGATTGGTGAAAATCTTTTCCTATTCTGTAGGCTGTCGTTTTGTCTTATTTACTGTGTCCTTTGCCTTACAGAAGCTTCTCAGTTTCAGGAGGTCCCATTTATTAATCTTTGCTCTCAGTGTCTGTGCTACTAGTGTTATATTTAGGAAGTGGTCTCCTGTGCCAATGCGTTCAAGACTGCTTCCTACTTTCTCTTCTATCAGATTCATTGTAACTGGTTTTATATTGAGGTCTTTGATCCACTTGGACTTAAGTTTTGTGCATGGCAATAGATATGGATCTATTTGTAATCTTCTACATGTTGACGTACAGTTATGCCAGCACCATTTGTTGAAGATGCTTTCTTTTTTCCATTGTACAGTTTTGGCTTCTTTGTCAAAAATCAGGTGTTCATAGGTGTGTGGGTCAATGTCAGGGTCTTCAATTTGATTCCATTGATCCACATGTCAGTTTTTATGCAAATACGAAGCTTTTTTTTTTTTTTTTAATTACTATAGCTCTGTAGTAGAGCTTGATGTCAGGGATGGTGATGCCTCCAGAGGTGGCTTTGTTGTACAGGATTCTTTTAGCTATCCTGGGATTTCTGTTTTTCCAAATGAAGTTGAGTATTGTTCTTTCCAGGTCTGTGAAGAATTGTGTTGGGATTTTGATGGGGATTGCATTGAATCTGTAGGTTGCTTTTGGTAAGATTGTCACTTTTACTATGTTAATCCTACCTATCCATGAGAGATCTTTCCATTTACTGATATCTTCTTCAATTTCTTACTTCAGGGACTTAAAGTTCTTGTTGTACAGGTCTTTCACTTGCTTAGTTAGAGTTACCCCAAGGTATTTTATATTATTTGTGGCTATTGTAAAGGGTGATGTTTCTCTGATTTCTTTCTTAGCCTGTTAGTCATTTGTATATAGGAGGGCTACAGATTTATTTATTTTTTTTTTTAGTTAATCTTGTATCCTGCCACATTGCTGAAGGTGTTTATCAGCTGTAGGAGTTCCCTGGTAGAATTTTTGGAGTCACTTATGTATTCTATCTTATCATCTGCAAATAGTGAAAGTTTGACTTCTTCCTTTCCAATTTCTTTCTTTCTTTTTTTTTTAAGATTTATTTATTTGTTTTGTATACAGCATGTATGACTACAGGTCAAAAGAGGACACCAGATCTCATTACAGATGGTTGTGAGCCACCATATGGTTGCTGGGAATTGAACTCAGGACCTCTGGAAGAGTAGTCAGTGCTCTTAACCTCTGAGCCATCTCTCCGGCCCCTTCTTTTCCAATTTCTATCCCTTTGATCTCCTTTTGTTGTCTTATTGCTCTAGCTAGAACTTCAAGTACTATATTGAATAAATATGGGGAGAGCGGACAGCCTTGTGTCTTGTTCCTGATTTTAGTGGAATTGCTTTGAGTTTCTCTCCATTTAATTTGATGTTGGCTGTTGGCTTGCTGTAAATTGCCTTTATTATGTTTAGGTATGTTCCTTGTATTCCTGATCTTCCCAAGGCCTTTATCAGGGTTTCTCTGTGTAGCCCTGGTTACTCTGTGGACCAAGCTGGCCCCAAACTCACAAAGATCGACCTACTTCTGCCTCCAGAGTGCTGGGATTAAAGGTGTGTGCCACCACCGCCCGGCCAGTATTTTCTTAATAAGGTAGTCTTGATTGGCCCCGAGATATGGGTAGAACTTTAAAATATTTTTTGAAGAGCTTTAATTACATTTTAAATTCATTTGTGTGTGTGTGTGTGTGTGTGTGTGTGTGTGTGTGTGTGTGTATACATATAAGTGCAGCACACTGTGCACTCATAAGGAGGTCAGAGGACAACTTGTCAGAGGTTGCTCACTCCTCCACCGTGTGGCTTCAGGGGACTGATCTCAATTCTCAGGTTTGGCACTAAAAGCCTTTATCCACTGTGCCACCTCGCTGGCCTAAGTCTTCCTTTTTAAACAAGTTGTACACGTACATAAAACAAAACCCAAAAGGAGCAAAAAGGTTTTATAATGAAAATTAAAAGTAGGTCACTTCCCAATAACCTAGTTCTTCTCCCCAGAGGCCACCATTGGTATCACTTTCTGAGTATTCTGTGCAGACAAGAGCTGTCAGTCTGCCTTCACTCATTCCCCTTTGTTTTTGGAAAAATTTAAAAGAACAAGAAGGTTGCAAGAATAATGCAGTAAACACCCTCTGCCATATTTCACCAATTAACGATTGGCCATAGTATGTGAAATATTTTGCAAGCATTATTATCACTTAATGCTTGCAAACCCACACATTCATGTCAGTTTTGTACATGAGGTCAATGAGGCACCAGCCAGGGTAAAGGACTTGCCCACAGCTGGATCAGAGCTGGGCTTTCCCCTCAGGCGGTAGGAAGACTTTGATCTGAGTTCCTTCATTCCTGATTCTTTGTGCAGGAAAGCATTTCTTTCTCAAAATGGGAACTACACCTCCCGGGGTAGTCACCAGATGATCAGCGGAAAAGTACACAGCTCTGAAGGCATCTCTTCCACTAAAGCCTCCTCATAACCTGAGCTCAGCGGCTCTCAATGCTGCTACCATCTGCTCCAATATCACCTTCACCGTGAAAAAATGAGTTAGCTTAGACTCTGCTAAAAACTCAGGCTGATTCCGAACTGTCAGCCCGCTGAGCCAGGAATCTCAGGCCTAAGCGATCCCTCCCTCACGTTGTTCCTCCCTCTCTCCCCACTCCTCCTTAGACGTGTCTCACTATGGTCCAGGCTGACTTCAAACTCTCCATCCTCCTAGATCTGCCTCCAGAGTCCTGGGACCACATACTCCTTTCTTGTTCCTCCTCCCCCACCTCTACCTGCATACTTGGGACCATTTCCGCAGGCTCCCTGCTTAGATCTCCCTCCCATTGCTGCTGGAAGCACTCTGTCTCCTAAGGAGCAGGGGTTGTCCCCTCCACCCTGCTCCTCTCCGCCCATTCTGCACTCCCCTGTTCTTTCCTTTCCTAGTGGCCTTTTGCCTGGAAGTCTGGGCAACAGTGGCCTACAGTAATAGTTCGGCCGCCTCCTGGCAAAGTGACCTTGCACAAGCAATTCCCAGCGTCTGAGCCTTTGTTTCAGCAAGCACCTAATGAAGGTGCCTAACTCCGTATCTTGCAGAACTGGGCTCACTCATCTCCCATCTTAGAATTGATAGCTCCTTAAGGCTGCTGACATCTAATCATGTCGGAAACACTATGTATTATTACTTAACTGTTCCACGCACCTCAGTTTCCTCACGTAAAACAGGAATGATCATGGAAAGATTGAGGAACTTTAATGAGCTGAAACATGGGGAGCACTTGAAACAGTTCCTAGCCCTAATAGTGCCATCTGGGTCGACCGAAGACCCGGCCCAAAGTAGGGGTGCAGGCTGGGCGCGGCAGAAGGCCGCAGGGAAGAGGCTACGAGGGAGGCAGGGGCCCTCGGGGAGACCGCGGCGATCCGCGGCTCCCTTCCGGGAGCAGCCCAGCCCAGCGCCGCAGCTGTCAGGCCGCGGGCGTCGGCGCCAGTCCACCAAACCTGAAAGTTCCATCCCAGCGCCTCCACCTTCCCAGCTTGGACAAGTTACCTTGCGCCCGCTGCTCCCGGTCCCGCCCCCGCCACCCATT